GGAGAGCCAGTTTGGTGTAGTGGTTAGAAGTGCATGGACTCTAATCTGGGAGAGCCGGGTTTGATTCCCCACTCCTCCACATCCAGCTGCTGGTGGAGGAGGAGGAGATTGGATTTATACCCCACCCTTCACTACCCAAAGGAGTCTCAGAGCAGCTCACAAACTCCTTTCCCTTCCCCTCCCCACAACAGACACCCTGTGAGGTGGGTGGGGCTGAGAGAGCTCTGACAGAAACTGCTCTTTTTCAAGGACAACTCTGGCAGAACTACGGCTTGCCCAAGGTCATCCAGCCAGGTGCAAGTGGAGGAGTGGGGAATCGAACCCGGTTCTCCCAGATTAGAGTCCGCACTCCTAACCACGACACCAAACTGGCTCTCTGAAGACAGCCAGTTTGGTGTCGTGGTTAAGTGCGCGGACTCTAATTTGGGAGAGCCGGGTTTGATTCCCCACTCCTCCACATCCAGCTGCTGGTGTGACCTTGGGTCAGTCACAAGTTATTTTGGAGCTGTTCTCTCAAGGGCAGTCCTCGAAGGAGCTCTCTCAGCCCCACCTGCCTCACAGGGTGTCTGTGGTGGGGAGGGGAAGGGAAAGGAGACTGTAAGCCACTCCTTTGGGCAGTGAAGGGCCATGGGGTATAAATCCAGTCTCCTTCTCCCTCATCTCAGCCTTGTCCAATATAGATTGTGGCACTCTGTCTGAGGAGGATGCCCTTTCCTCTCCTTTCGGGTTTGTTCAGTCCAGATAGTTTCCAAGATGGGAAGGAACCACTCTCCACTCCAGGTGGGACCAGGGGATCCCCCGGAATTACAGCTCATCTCCAGACAACAGAGATCAGTTCCCCCAGAGAAAATGGCTGCTTTGGAGGGTGGACCCTGTGGCACTGTGCCCCACTGAGTTTCCTGTCCTCCCCGGGCTCCATCCTCAAATCTCCAGGAGTTTCCCCACCTGGATCTGGCTGCCATAACCCCTCATCTCCCGCCGGTGGTCAGGGAGGACCTGGCATCGCTATGACTCCACGCAAGATGGCGGCTGTTGCCAAGGCAACCTCTCATGTGCCTCCTGGCGCCTTCCGTCAGGCCGGAACGACCGGTCCAAATTCAGCAGGGAGAACATTTGTTGACGATGCCCTCGGGCACTCTTCCGTGTGTCTCTCGCACCCATAAAACGCTCATCGCTCAGGCCCGGGGGCTCTCTGAGGAAAGGCCAGTTGGCAGGCGCTCCGTTGCCAAAATAAGACCGCTTGTTGACTCCCCGGGCCCAAGCGGGCCCCCTCGGTTGCCATATTTCCCTCCAGACGCACTCAGCGCCGCTATGGAAAGTTAATCCGACTTCTTTTGTCACCCTTTCAAAATGTCGAAATGACTCGGGAAGGGGGGTGGGAGCACATCTCCAGTATCCCGGCTCTGCGTTGCACGTGGCAAATGTTAGTCAACGGGAGCGGAAGAAGAGACGCACAAGTGCAGGGCTGTTGTGCATCGCTGGCTTTCCGAGCCAGTCTCTGAAGAGGAGGAGATTGGATTTATATTCCACCCTTCACTACCCGGAGGAGGCTCAGAGCGGCTTGCAGTCTCCTTTCCCTTCCCCTCCCCACAACAGACATCATGGGAGGTAGATGGGGCTGAGAGAGCTCTCTCGAGGACTACCCTTGAGAGGACAGCTCTGAGAGAACTTGTGAGTGACCCAAGGTCACACCGGCAGCTGCATGTGGGGAATCAAACCCAGTTCTCCCAGATTAGAGTTCGCACTCCTCACCACGACACCAAACTGACTCTGCTTGAGGTCTTTCCTCACAGCGGTTATCCTGGCTGCTGTCCATGAAAGGGATAGACTTAACTGTGCACTGAATGAATTTCAGGATACCCACAGCCATACCGCGCGGGAAGATAAATCTCCTCTGTGCCCCCTCTTTCTGAAACAGTTGGACGGTTCTAGACTGGATTACTGGCTATCTATTTGTTTGGCACATGAAGACTCTCCCAGCTTACATCGTTCTTCTCCGTTTTATCCTCACAACGACCCTGTGAGGTAGGTGAGGCTGAGAAGCCGTGACTTGCCCCCAGGTCACCCAGCCAGCTTTAACGGCACGAGGGGGGATTCGAACCTGAGCCTGCCAGATCCTGGAGTTCTCCCGAACTTACAACTGACCCCCAGAGGTCAGTTTCCCCGGACAGAAGGGCAGCGTCGGAGGGAAAACTCTATGGTATACTATAGAGTCTAAGTAAAATGCCTCACCAATTCCCCCCATCTGCGGGCAACACCCCTAAACCTCGAGGAGTTTCCCAGGCCAGAGCCGGCAAATTGGTGGTGGTGGGGGGGATTGATGGGAAGGGTCTCCGTTGAGTTGCCTGCGGAGCAAAAGGGTGTCTAGGTGCCACAAGATGGCCACCACGAGGAGAAGAAGTGTCAGCAGGGAGTGATCAGTTCTTTATATTGCGCCAAATATAGATGCTAGCTCTGGGCGAAGAAACAGCTGGAGACTTTGGGGGTGGAACCTGGGTCTGGCCAGGTTTGGGGAGGCACCTCAGTGGGACACAGTGCCACAACGTCCGCCCTCCAAAGCGGCCATTTTCTCCAGGGAAACGCAATCTCTTATTGGCTAGAGATCAGTTGTAAGAGCAGGAGATCTCCAGGCCCCACCTGGAGGCTGACAACCCGGCAGCAGGTGGAGGCCTACAAATTGAGTGGGCAGGAAAGCATCAGAGCACGAGTGGGTGTTGGATAAGGTTGCCAGCCTCCAGGTATGGCCTGGAGATCTCCGGGAACGACGACTGATTCCCAGACTTCAGAGATCAGTTCCTCTGGAGAAAATGGCCGCTTTGGTCGGTGGACTCTGTGGCATTAGAGCCCGCAGTGGTCCCCCCCCCCCCACCCAACAGCCCCGGGCTCCACGCCCCCAAATCTCCAGGTATTTCCCATCTACAGTGGTGTGGACCACAGTGTAGAAGTGGGAGGAATTTGTTTATCTGGGCCCACTTTGAAGGGCTCTTTCTCTTTCCAAGTCGTCTCTCTCTCTCCCTTTTGAAGTCGGCTCTAGAGAGCCAGTTTGGTGTAGTGGTTAAGAGTGGCAGGACTCTAATCTGGAGAACCGGGTTTGATTCCCCGCTTCTTCACATTCAGCCAGCTGGGTGACCTTGGGTCAGTCACGGTCCTCTCAGAGCTGTTCTCTCAATAGCAGTTCTCTCACTCAGCCCCACCTGCCTCACCGGGTGTCTGTTGTGGGGAGAGGGAGGGAAAGGAGATTGTAAGCCGTTCTGAGACTCCTTTGGGTAGCGAAGAGTGGGGTATAAATCCAACTCTTCTTCTCTTTCTCTTTCCAAGCACCAGTCGCAGAAGAATAACCAATGTGAGCCTAACTTAAAAGGTGGTTGTGAAAATTCCTGAAATCATGCGCACACAGCGCTTTGAATCCTTTAAAGTACTACAGCATGACTGTGCATTACTATCTAGAGCCAGTTTGGTGCACTGGTTAAGTGCGTGGACTCTAATCTGGGAGAACCGGGTTTGATTCCCCACTCCTCCACATGCAGCTGCTGGATGACCTTGGGCAAGCCACAGTTTTGATAAGAGCTGTTCTTGAAAAAGACAGTTCTCTCAAGGACAGTTCTGGAAAGAGCTCTCTCAGCCCCACCTACCTCACAGGGTGTCTGTTGGGAAGGGAAGGGAAAGGAGTTTGTAAGCCACTCTGAGTGAAGGGTGGGCTATAAATCCAATCTCTTCTTCTCTTCTTGTTCTTCTGTTTAGACAACAGAAGGAAAAGGCAGATGGATTTGTATCTAGCACGGGCAGTGAAAATCAATGTTCCTTGCTCTTGTGGGGAAAAGACCTAAAGTATTCACTGGCTAGAAACCTCAAGAATTTGGAATACGTATTCAGAGGTTTCTGACACAGTGGTCCCTAATCATTTTAATAGCAGCTGTCCATGGTCCATACTGAAGAACAAAATAGGCTTGCCAACCTCCAGGTGGGGCCTGGAGCAATGCTCCCTCTAAGCTCTAGAGTCTTGTGAGCAAAAATTCTTCTTTGTGAGCTACTTGGCATTAAAGTTGTGATCTGGCCACTGCATAAATTAGTTTGCTCTGGAGCCATCCTTCCTGAGCTAAGTCAAAAACCTGTGAGCTGGAAGCTAAAAAACTGAGCTAGCTCACACTAACTCAGCTTGGAGGGAACACTGGCCTGGAGGATCTTCCAGAATTACAACTGGTCTCCAAATGTTCCCTCTAAGCTGTGGAGTCTTGTGAGCAAAAATTCTACTTTGTGAGCTACTGGCATTAAAGTTGTGAGCGAGCGATTCGGCTACTGCATGAATTAGTTTGCTCTGGAGCCCTCCTTTCTGAGCTGAGACAAAAATGTGTGAGCTGGAGGCTAAAAAACTGTCAGCTACCTCACACTAACTCAGCTTAGAGGGAACACTGGCCTGGAGGATCTTCCAGAATTACAACTGGTCTCCAAATGTTCCCTCTAAGCTGCGGAGTCTCGTGAGCAAAAATTCTACTTTGTGAGCTACCGGCATTAAAGTTGTGAGCGAGCGATTCGGCTACTGCATGAATTAGTTTGCTTGGGAGCCCTCCTTCCTGAGCTAAGACAAAAAATGTGTGAGCTGGAGGCTAAAAAACTGTGAGCTAGCTCACACTAACTCAGCTTAGAGGGAACACACTACAGAGATCAAGGTCCGTGGGGAAAATGGCTGCTTTGGAGGGTGGACTCCATGGCTCTATGCACTGCAGAGGTCTCTCCCCTTCCCCAGAACCTGCCCCCCCCGACTCC